TGCAACAGCCACATAGTCTTTTCCTTCCCTTCCCTGTTCAAACCCTATACATTACATATTTCCATACTATTGCCATTACTGTCGCTAATAGCCTGTGCCCCATTTTCCTTGAACTCTGGCACCTGCCTTTCAGCCGTCTCAACTGTGTTGCATCTCAGGCTTGCAGCCCAATTCTGACCTACCTGGACACCTAGCCTGGTCCTCTGGGATTTCCCAGCAGGCCCTGCCCCTTCTTCTGACTCTAGCTGCCCACTGCCTGGTGGTTTCTCCATTTTTTGCAGATTTTTCCCATTCGAGAAAGATGTAATGCCTATCCTAAGGCTTAGTTACTGACAGTAAGAACTGATATTGCTGATATTTTGGCCCCACCGCCTTTTCCTTTGCTTCCACCCACCTCCAGAATTCATCCCCCCAAGAGGTTCTCCGAAGTTGAGTTGAGCCCTTGACTTGGAAGAGGCTCAACATCTCAGGACTCATAAAAATAGCATGCTGCTCTCACCTGTGCCTTTTATTTATTCATTCAGTTTATATCCTGCCTTTTTCCTACAAAGGGTTCAAGGCACTTACATCTCCTCCTCCATCTTATCCCCACAACAACAACCCTGTGGGGTAGGTTGGGCTGAGAGTCTGTGACTGGCCCAAAGTCACCCAGTTGGCTCCATGGCTGAGCGGGGACTAGAACCCAGATCCTCTGAGTCCCAGTCCCACGCTCTTCACCACTACACCACACTGGCTCTCACTTTTTCTAACCCAATCTGACTGCATTGCCTTCCCCTCTCTGGTTGGCCTTGGAATAGGTGTTTGGCCTAAAGCAAGTAGCTCCTTCTTTGCATTAAAAGTCTTTTCCCCCCTCTCATGCCTCTTCCTCCATAGACTGTTTCACATTTTGGTAGCTCTCGAAAGAGTTCTTTTCAGTCTTTCTTCCTTCTTTTCCCCGTGCATCTCAATTAGATTTTTACAGCCTCAATGACTGTCCTTGGCTTTCCTTCCTGTAAGTTTGACTAAGGACCAATTCAGAGAACCTCCTACAGGTATGGACAATTTCAGGAGGTCTAGTGCCCAGGTTTGGCCCAGAAACCCTCACCCCACAGTCTACCCCCCACAAGTACTGAAAACAGAGGAAAAATATTAATACCCAAAGGGTAAAAACTAGTTTGCTTACATGCTAATGTAACCATGTAGCTCCAGATGCTATTTCATCTGAAAATATTTTATGCTTTTTTTAAAGTCCCAGACAAATTTGAAGAAGGGGGGACCTGTAGCTTAGGCCACGAGAGTCACAATTTCTGGCTAGCCCACATAGTTTTCTAGCCATTTTATCCCATGTATTTTACCATAAGCTGAGACCAGCATGAATTGGCTTGTGCGAGCACAGAGATTTCTATTCCTCAATTGGACGGTTTGTATTTTGGGGAGGAGAGAAGGAGCTACGATGGCATGTCAAAACATTTACACCTGCATTCAGCAAGTGATAGCAGAATATCTTTTTCACAAGATTTACTAATCAGGTTACTAATCAGAAAATACTTTCCACAAGGTTGACTAATTTTATTCAATTTACCATTGTTAATTGAATAAAATTCATAGCTGCCAGGAGTTAAGTCAGCAGTTTGAACTGACTCTGAATATCTGCTATGTAAGAGCAAGAAGAAAAATTGGGTTGCAGTCCTTGCTTGGGAATAAAACCACTGAATATTTACTGCTCTGGTGGAAAAGAAAAGCCCAGTCCCAGCATTTAAATAGATTTGGACTCAATGGGAAGATGATTTACTGATCACTGCTCCTGTGTTTAAGCAACGTAAGCAGTCAGTGTTGTGGCTCTTTCAGTGCCTATATCAGGCATCTTTAACCAGACCTCCTGTTTTTCCTGAGCTGGTGCCTCTGTGCTATTTCTTGCCAGAGTTTTTTCTGCTAAGGCGTTTACTTTACTGTCTTTTGACTATGTTGGCATGCTGGAATTCATTATCATATGGGAATGAATCACCTGGTGTTTCTTATCTGATAATGAAGTCTTTAGAAGAGCAACTCTTCAACTTTATTTCTGGAAGGAATGACTGGAAGGTAGAATCAAGTCCCTGTAGCACCTGAAGATGCTTTGTTTTTCTCTTAGAGCTTTCTACACAAGGCTGTTGATTACTTTATCTTCTTTAGGTTTTGCTGGAGAACTGAGATCAGAGCTCTATACAATGAGCTTTTCCTCCCCTGTTTTTCTGTTATGTAATCTAGGTAGAGCTGTGCTCTAGTGGAATACTGCAAATACACAATTAGATACAGTGCTTCTAGAAGTAATAACCTATTTCCCATTCTTTAAAAGAAAGTCCCGAAAAACCAGGGCTTGTGCAAGTGCAGATTAGCACATCCTCAAAAGTCTCTCTCTCTGCCTCTCTCTAAGGACATCCCTATTTGTAAGGAATGTATGGTGGGTTGTATGGAGAAAGGCAGAAAGATCCAAGAGGGTTGGGGCAGCAGCCAGCTACTGCATTGATCAAATGCAACAGAGTTTATCAGCACCTGTGGAGTTGGGTTTCAGCAAGTGCCTGTGGAGAGCAGGGAGGTGGGGCTGCTGGCTTCCCACAGATTCAGAGCTCAGAATGGATGCGGATTCCAGTCCTAGTGTGCTGCCCCCTAACAAAGTCTCTGCTTGAACTTTTCTTGCGCTTGAAGAGCTTTTTCTACAAGCATTCCACATTTCCCTAAGTAAGGAGAAAATATATGATCATTGTCTGGGCATATTTAATAATCAGCTTTTCAGCAGGATTCCAATACAGTTTCTTTCACCTTGGAAGCTAAAGTTTGAAATTCAGAACACATTGAATGGATGTTGGCACTTGCTTCTGCAGGTTCCTTTAGGACACACTCTCCAGTGCCATTTGAGCCTGGTGTTTGTTTTGTATCCTGGACATGTGGCACTCGAGGATGCATCTTTGCTCCCATTGGATCAGGGAATGCCATTCCTCAGACAACTAAATCCTGACTGACAAATGTGTGCCCCCCCCCCCCCAGCTAAACGGACTAATTCTTGAATTCACTTGGTTAGATCCTACTGTGCTGTGGTCAAATAAATGTTAAAACAACGTAATGAAAACAGGTTTCCCTCCTGGGAATTCAATAATCTCACTATTGCAAATAATGATTTTAATAAAACATATGTGCATATCAGTAAAATTAACTATAGAGAGGCTGGTTAATCAGCTGCCACTAGATATATACAACTTTCATTTCTTCCTTAATCTTCATTTTATGTATTTATTCATTTATTATACTTATATGCCACCCTTTTCCCTACAGGGAGCCCAGAGTGACTTGCATAGGCCTCTTCCTTTCCATTTTATCCTCACAGCCACCTTCTGTGGTAGATTTGGCTGACAGTCAGTGACTGGCTCTAAGTTACCCAGTGAGCTTCATGGCCAAATAGAGACTCAAACCGAGGCCTCCCACATCCTCCCTCAGCAGTTTAACCACTGCTCCACCCTGGCCCTCAGTGATTCTACAGGGACTGGCTTGCCCAAAGCAAGAAGCGTCATGTAGTTGTTCCAGTCCATTTAATTGCCCCCTCCCCGCAAATACCTGCTTGTATTTGCCCTGTCATGATGAACTTTGCTTACATTGGCTATGATTGTTCTGGTTTGTTCAATATGACTTTACTGGGCACAATTTAGAAAGGGCAAAATTTCATTTTGAAAGGCCAATTGTAAGGTTTGATTGTTCAGTATTTACTCACTCTTTACCCTACAATATCAGGGTTGCATAAAAGGAGGCATAAAAAACAAAATAAGAGGCATGAAAACAAAAATTAGCCACAATGCATTAATAGAAGAACCATAAAATATCACAATATAAATAAAACAAATTATATAATTGATCCATCTTTCCTTCTTAACATAAGAACTAATATGTGAGAAGTGGTGGGAAAACATGAGATGTGTACCTATGGAAATTGATGTCTGGACCACTGAAAATTCTGTGCTTGTGACAAGATGATTGTAAGATATGAGTCTGCCCTGAAAAAAGCACAGATTTTCTAGAGGAGGTAGTGTTGCTTGTTTCGGAGAATCCCCACATTAAAAAACATGATGCAATGAAACAGCTAACAAGTCAGAAAGAAAAGATTTAAATTTTCCACAAGGGGTATAGTTCTAGTGTACAAACATTTCCGCCTAGGTGAAGACTATGCTGTGTTAATAATGCATGTTCGAATTGGCCCTGAGATCTTTGGTGCTGTCATAAAACCTCAAATATCCTTTTTCTAGACTATTCAAAAGGATTGATAATCAGATATTATCAGATGCTGTGGAAAGTGGAGCAAAAGCTAATAGCTGCAGGGGTGACATTTATGGAAACCTTGGCATGAAGTATTGTCATGTTGGAACTCCCCCCCCCCCCCCCGCCATTTCTTTTGTGCAAGGTATCACTGGCAAAACAGTTTCCTAGTTGGCTGTGGGTCTTAGAAGGGCTTTTTCCCTTGGGCATGGCTGATGTGTTAAATGTGTTCTATGTTACGCTTGCATCAGTTTTCTAGAAATTTTACTTAGAAAAAAGGGACTGACCTGCAACAGAAAAAACCAGACTTTCCATATTAGGCAATGCTTCATGTAGCCCACTGAACAGACTTGAAATCTTCAAAAGATGCATGGTGCCCAAACATTTTAGGATGTATCTTTAAAACTTTTCACATTGTCATGTTGTCATCATCCTTGGTGTCCTGTTGGTCTGGCACTATACTATGAGCTTTGCCCTCTCATAGAGAAATGCAGACACTGTGTTTACAAAGAAGGATGCTGCTGCTGTTAAATATTAAAATTAAATAGTATTAATTGTTTCTGAAATGTAATACTTTCTCAGGTAAAGAGCCAAATAACAGCAGTCATTACAGTCCAGTAGACACTCTACGTTTTTCAAAGTTGCTGTGTTGCGTTTTCTTTCTGTTAGCTTTTAATGTGTTGATTGCTATATATCCTTTTCCTTAGCATTATTTTTGTTTCCCGTTCTTTTTCCCACAGAGTTTCTTTGAAGGACAGTCTGCACCATGGGATTCAGCTAAAAAAGATGAGAACCGCATGAAGAATAGATATGGGAATATCATTGCATGTAAGTGTTGACAGCATAATTGTACTACTGTGTAAATTCCTTTTAGTAACTGACAACAGTGCCCACCGATATACAGCTCTGGGTGCCTGGAGTAAACAGAGCTCTAAGCACTGTAATAAAAATAGGGGTGGGGGGAATCCTTCAATATTCAAAAGACTGTAGAACAGAGTAAGTGGTCCTGGAGAGCCACTGTGGGGTGGTGCAGACCAGGACTGGGACCAGATAGGATCAGAGCATACCAAGATGGACAAATTTCTTCATAAAATGTAAAGACCTGGATGCTAGAGAAAACGAAACAGATTCATCCATCCCAAGCAGAGTTGCTGTGTGCATAAAATGGGAGGGAGAAATGACATGTGCCAGCCTGAGGTCCTCACGGTGGAAAGGAATATAACCAGTACTAATAGCTATAATTATAATGATGGCGTAGGCTGTCCATGAGTGAAACGAGGAGGGGACAAACTTCCCCCCTCCACAAACCTGCCTTGTGTCTGCCCTCAAAATTTTCTGTGGAGATTTAGGAGACCACCCATAACATTTTTTGAGGATCATGGAGGGCCACATGGCAGAGAAGGTCAAAGTCCCATTTCACTGAAAAATTGGTTTTACATCTGATATCTAGGATCCTGATGAACAAAATGGACAACCAGAAGGTATCCTCCTGTATTGAAATCATTAGAATTAAAAATGGCTCAGTTACCACTTGTGTACCTATTTACAGGTGTGGTTTGATACAAGGTGGAAAGGGAAATGCAATGCAAATGAGGCACATGCAGCACTTAAGAATTTTAACTGTATTTTAACTGTTTTAATTTTAATTCACTGGGACTTTTCATGCCAGCCTGTGTGAGTGGGACATTTGGATGTTTCTTAATCCCTTTCGAATGTAAAGTAGGGACAGAAACTTATTTTATTACATCAAAAGAAGGAAGTAGAGCAGGAGGCAGAAACTGCATCTTCCTCACCTTACCTCCTCATTTTCCATAGATTTAAACCAGTCTTCTCACTGCCCAGCTCATTTTGAATATTAAAACCAAGCTAGGGAAAGCTGCATAAAAGTAGTACCCTGAAGCAGGTAGGGTGTGTTTTGTTTCCCATTCCGTTCTTTTGTTCAAGTTTTAATGACTAAAACTTGCTTCCCTGATCCCATTCTATACATTCTTCACTCATGGACATGTTTAAGATTCAATCAAATTGCCTATACATCTAGTTTGGTGCTAAAAAGTACCTTTCTTTTCCCGAATGGTACCCATTGTAGCTACGAGTATAGTAAACTTTTTTTTTTAAGAAATTTTATTAAAGTTTTAAACTAATACTAAAAACATCAATCATCACATACATCAGACTTACTGGGTCAACCCCCTGCTACGTATTTTTTAACATATGTTAAACATATGTTTTTAATTGTTTTAGGTGATTTTATTTGAGTATTTTATGGATTCAGACCTGGTTGCACCTGGGGAGCATATGGGCGCCACCATTAGGGTGGTCTTGGGCAATGGACGTTATGGCATTGGCAGTCTAACGGGGCTGCATAGAAGAAGGCGGGACAGATGGTTCCCCCTTCTGGTTACTCCCCCAGCCGGAGGGCTCCAGGTAAGCTTGTCAACTGCCCCTCAGGCCTGACAGTGCTGTTGCTTAATGCCAGGTCGGTCCATAAGTCATCCCTCAACCACGACTTGATTGTGGATGAGGGGGCCAACCTGGCTTACATAACCAAGACCTGGGCAGGTGATGTGTCCCTCTCTCAACTGTGCCCACCCGGGTATCTGGTCCAGCAGCAACCACGCCTTGAGGGGAGGGGAGGGGGAGTCGCTTTGGTTTACCGAGCTTCCATCTCCCTCACGGGGCTTCCTGTTCTCTCGAGGCCGGATCTAGAGTGCCTCTACTTGGTGTTGGGCAATCGAGACAGATTGGGGATTCTGTTGGTGTACCGTGTACCCTTCTGCCCAACAGACTCCCTGCCTGAGCTGACGGAGATAGTCTCGGACCTGGTGTTGAGGACTCCCAGGATGTTGGTCCTGGGGGACTTCAGTCTCCATGTTGAGATGGATCTGACCAGGGCAGCTCAGAACTTCATGGCCTCCATGACGGCCATGGGGCTGTCTCAACACGTCAGTGGCCTGACCCATGAACGTGGACACACTCTGGACCTGGTTTTCTCAACGGGGCAGGAAGAGGTTATCTGAGGGTGAGGAATTTAGGTCTGACTCCCCTGTCATGGTCAGACCACTTCCTCTTGAGGTTTGAGCTCAAGAGCGGCCTTTCCCTCTTTAAGGGTGCGGACTGATTGTGTTGTTCCACCCCCGGAGCCGGATGAATCCGGATGGTTTCCTGAAGGCCCTGGGGGAATTTTCAGTTGACAAGGCTGGCGCGCCTGTCGAAGCTCTGGTCCAGCTGTGGAATGGGGAAATGACCAGGGCTATTGACACGATCGCTCCTAAGCATCCTCTTCCGCCGGGCAGAGCCCATTCATCCCCTTGGTATACACCTGAATTATGGGTGATGAAGCGGGTTGGGAGACGGTTAGAGCGTAGGTGGAGGAAATCACAGGATGAATCTGACCAAACACACTTAAGAGCCCATTATCGAACCTATGCTGTGGTGGTGAGGGTGGCAAAAAAGAAATTTTTCTCCGCATCCATTGCCTCCTCACAATGCCGTCCGGCAGAGCTTTTTCGGGTGGTACAAGGGCTGGTTCACCCAGGCCCTAAGAAAGACTTGGTACCACCCTCGATGGCCCGCTGTGACAACTTTCCCAAGCATTTTAGGGAGAAAATCGCTCAGATTCGTCACGAGCTGGACTCCACTAGTGACTCAGAGCCTTCAGGGGAGGAGCCAATGTTGCCGTCTGGTCCACAATTGGTGGATGAATTTCAGTTATTGCAGCCTGATGATGTGGACAAGGTGCTTGAACAAGTACGTTCCACCACCTGCTTATTGGACCCTTGCCCATCTTGGCTACTCAAGACAGCCAAGGACGGGATAGGGACCTGGATCCTGGAGGTTGTCAACACTTCTCTGAGGGATGACCGGGTACCTGCCCTTTAATGGAGGCAGTAGTCCGGCCTGTCCTAAAGAAGGCATCCCTAGATCCAGAGGTGGCCACCAATTATAGACCGGTGGCGAACATCCCATTTCTGGGCAAGGTGTTAGAGCGGGTGGTGGCGGGACAACTCCAAGCACTCTTGGAGGAAACTGATTATCTGGACCCATTTCAGTCCGGCTTCAGACCCGGGTATGGTACTGAATCTGCCTTGGTCGCCCTGTATGATTACCTATGCAGGGAGAAAGACAGGGGGAGTGCATCCCTGTTGGTTCTCCTGGACCTCTCAGCGGCTTTCGATACCATCGACCATGGTATCCTTCTGGATAGGCTAGCGGGATTGGGAGTTGGAGGCACTGCTTTGCAGTGGTTCTGCTCCTATCTCAATGGCTGATTCCAGAAGGTGATGCTGGGGGACTATGGTTCTGCGTCATGGCAGTTATGCCATGTAGTTCCGCAGGGTTCCATCTTGTCCCCCATGCTATTTAACTTCTACATGAAACCGCTGGGAGAGGTCATCAGGAGGTGTGGGCTGCAGAATCATCAGTACGCTGATGATACCCAGCTCTACCTCTCTTTCTTAACTAATCCAGGTGAAGCAGTGGCTGTACTGAACCAGTGCCTGGCTGAGGTAATGGGCTGGATGAGGGCCAATAAAGTGAAGCTCAATCCGGACAAGACGGAGGTCCTGTTGGTAGGTGGGTTGGGCTTTGGGATGGGGAACTTTGACCTTGTCCTGAATGGGGTTGCACTCCCTCTTAAGGATAGGGTCCACAGCTTGGGAGTGCTCCTCGACCCAGAGCTATCGTTGGAAGTTCATGTGACAGCGGTGGCGAGGAGCACTTTCCTTCAGCTTCGGCTGATCCATCAGCTGCGTCCCTACCTGGCAACAGTGACACATGCCTGGCAACAATGACACACGCATTGGTCACTTCCCGATTAGACTTCTGTAACGCGCTCTACATGGGACTGCCCTTGAAGATGGTCCGGATACTTCAATTGGTGCGAACTAGAGCTGCCAGGCTGCTGACAGGGACTGGGCGTTGTTCTCATATAACCCCAGTCCTCCGTCAGCTCCACTGGCTTCCCATTGAAGTCCGGGCCCAATTCAAGGTGCTAGTTATCACCTACAAAGCCCTGAATGGCTTAGGCCCTGGTTACCTAAAGGAGCGCCTGCGTCCATATATGCCCTCCTGCCCCCTGAGATCAGCAACAGAGGCCCTTCTCCGGGAACCCTCCGTGAAGGATATTCGGAGGGTGAGTACTCGGAGAAGGGCTTTCTCTGCGGTGATGCCCAACCTATGGAATGCGCTCCCCAGAGAGGTCCACCTGGTGCCGTCCTTATTTGTTTTTCTGCGCCAGTCCAAGTCCTTTTTATTTAAACGCTATTTTAACTGTTAGTGGTTTATTTGTTGGTTTAAATTGACCAGGCTGGATCCACTATTTTATTTTATTTTATTTATTTATTTTATTTGATGATTTTTTTGTATTTTATATGGGATTTTAATGATTGTAAGCTGCCCCGAGGCTCATGCAATGGGGTGGCATATAAGTTGTTTAAATAAATAAATGAAACATTCTATAAACATATTCAAATCAGTTTATAATAACTTGACAACATCTCTAAATCTACACCAAGTCCCCTTTCTCCAGCCAATTATAAAAAAAATCCCAAGTTTGATAGGAGTCAGTGCCTTCTTTCTCCTTCAGTGAAAAAGTCAGTCTATCCATTTCTGCGCAGTCCAGAATCTTTCTTAGAATCAGTTCATCAGTGGGTAGAATATAGTAACCTTCTGGTGTGACAGCAGCCTATAACTTCGCTCTCACAAAGAGGAAGGACGAGATCTCTTCTCGCTCATACCGGAGTGTAGGACACAGAATAATCAGCTCATGTTGTGACAACTCAGATTCAGGCTAGTTATCAGAAAAAGTTTTCTCACTGTCAGAGCAATAC